ATCTCAGCTTAGACTGCAGCTAATGCATGAGATGAGTGAGATCTTGCTACTTTTCTCCAGATACCAGAAAAAACAATCTATGTCCTTGCATTGCTGATAATGGGCCCTAAAGTCTCTACAGATTCAGAGAAACAAAGTAATGAAGGGATATTTCTGTTATTCCTGAACTCATAATCAATCATGTTTAGCCAGCTTGGGTGTGTATGAACTAAAGACAAACTAAAGGGCTAAGCTCTTTCTGTGAAGTGATATTCTGGGCATGTAGGTGAAAATCAGAGAGATTTAAAACTTTGAGTCCCAGAAAGTATTAGAAAGGCTATCGGATTAAGTAAATTAAATATGTGAGATTTGGGGATGCTTAGTTTTCTTGTGGAGTACATACTGCCTGATTCTTCTTCTTCAGTACATACCACTCCATTATTCCCTACCTCAGGTGCTATTTTTTTTCTTGAGCAGCAACCAAGGGATGCAATTCTTGTTGAGCAGGAAGACAGATGTCACTAATTTGGGGAGTTTTGTTATATTAAATACTTTAAAGCTCCCGTTCCAATAGTCATCAGGTGATTACACTAGATTTTCAGCTTCCAAGGAAGCTGGAGGAGTAAATCTTGCACTTTTGATGATCTGATCTGACAGGGACATGGTTTGACATGCTGTGGCACAGCAGTAGCAGTCAGGGCCCCTCTTCTCACGAGAGCATCACAAAGTCATTTCACCCTTCAGCATGGCAGGCTCTATAAAACCTGGCTACTTCTGGTAACTAAGGAAAGCACAGTCAGCAGCAGCTAGCATAGTTTAGGAGATGTAAAACTGATAAGCATCATACAGTGACTAGCAACAAAGCATTTACTCAGCCATTCTACCAGTCTTAGGCAAGATAACAATTTTGCACACAGCCACTTGCACACACCTTACAAGTACCAGGGCATCCTTCCTGCCCTGGCAGGCTTTAAGGAAGCTGGGAAGTGTGCAGAAACTACAGGGAATGATTAGTTAGTCACATATTCTGCAGGAAGCATAACATGGAACAATCACTTGCCATAGCAACCTTAACATATGGAGAATCATCTGCAGAAATAAACTGATTTTAATTACTAGACCAAATGTAATTAGCAAGTAAGCTATAGGTAAACAATGTAAGAGAAAAGGAAGCCTTTTTAAAAGGGTCTTTTGTTTCTTCAACTGATAGCTTAACGGGCATTATTATTACTTAGTATGTCCCCAAGGACAGCTCTGCAGCAACTGAAGAGAAGGAACAGGCAAAGGGCTGCTAGGTAGTTTTCTGATCCCAAATGTTGCCAATGTTATACAGTCATCAGAAATAAAATCTGTCTGCTCTAATGAAAGTGTGAACCTGTGAAACGTCCGTGTCTGAGTTGGTCACAGCAGGCTCGCTTTGTAAGCACTGGAGAGACGCAGGCATTTTTAGCGGGAAACGCATCTCGCTCTGCGGCAGGGCATTTCCGTGCGCCGGACCCGGCGCCGCGCTGAGGCTGCGGGCGGCGGCTGCGGAGGCGCGGGGGCCCCCTGCTGGGCACGCGGCCGCACCGCAGCCCCGGCCTTCCCCCGGGGATCCGCGCGCTCTCCGCGCCGGGAGCAACTTCCGCACAAATGACGCCACTTGTGCCCCCAGGTTGTAATTTAGCCTGCCAAACCTTGCTCCTGAAGAGGAGAGGTAGTATATTTTTTTTTCCCCCCAAAAGATACGGGTTTAAATTAGATTTACCCATTTCCTCTGTGTGTGTGGGTGTTTAGTAAGAAAAGAATAAGAGCAGTGGTGGCTTCAAACAGAAGATTGAACCTCAGTTAGGGCTGTATGAAGAAGGGCTGAGCTGCCTGCTTTCAGGAAGAGCCTAAGAGTAGATGAAGCCAGGAATTCTCTTTTCAGAGTTCCTTTTTACTGAGGATGCTAACTGCTTTTAAGCACCTGGTTTGGCAAAGCCTGGGCACTGGACTTCTTTAAAGAAGTCTGGCCTTACTCTTTGGGTTTTAATCCTCCTTTATAAAACAAAAGCGATTTTTAAAAAATCCCTTCTCTGGTTTTCAGGGACACTCTTAATATAAACAGATGGATCGGAGATCCTTGGCGTCAGGTATTGTGGCAGTGTCCTGCAAATATTTTAAGATTTCATCCTATATCCTTGTATCCCAACGATCTCATGTTCTTGGTCTTTGAGAATGTCTCTTTACAGAGAGAAAAAATATAAAAAGGAAAATGTCAACCCCTCACACAAAAGCCCTTTAGCCTCTTACATGAAATACAGAATAATTATTGCTGTCCTGGTGTAACCATTAGTGGAAGTTGTTAAGCTTCTTATAATAAAAGCTTAAGAGGATGAGAATTATGTAATGCCCAATTCCAAAAGTATTTTTTTCTCTGACATTTCTTGTCATGTTTCTGATAAAGGCTGAGCCATTAGACAAATTCTTCAGAGACTACTTTGGTGTAGGTAACTTCAGAGGTGCCAAAGAACATCTATTTTGTTTTGGCTGGCTGATTTGCTTTAAAAAAATTAATTTTGCTTTCCCTGTAGTTGAGATTGCAATAGTGTGCAAGAAAACAATTGGCATGCTAGGAGAATAAACAATAGCATTCTCCTTTCCAGAAATTGTATTCCCTACAGGAATTAAACCATGGGCTGGACACCAAGTCCTAGTTTGGACCTCTTGCCAATTTGTCTCTTTTACTGAAATAAAAGGAAGTTGGACTACTGACAGGGACAATCTAAACTGGGAAGTTGGGAGGAGAAACAGCGAGGACAGGTGACCCAAACTGACCAAAGGTATATTCTCTACCATGTGGCATCATGCTCTGTACATAAGGCAGGGGGGAGGAGAAAGGGAGGATGTTTGGAGTGACAGCATTTGGCATCCCAAGTCACCATTGTATGTGATGGGACTCTGCTCTCCTGGAGGTGGTAGAACACCTGCCTGCCCATAGGAAGCAGTGATTTAATTCCTTGTTTTGCTTTGCTTGTGTGCACAGCTTTTGCTTTCCCTACTAAACTGTCTTTATCTTAACCCAAGAGTTTTCCAGTTTATATCCTTCCAATTCCTTCCCCCATCCCACTGAGTGGGAAATGAGCAAGCAGCTGTGTGGGACATGGCTGTGTGGAAGGGCAGCAGTCAGGCCTCCTTCCTGCCCACCTGACACTGGCAGCCTACCGAAAACCAAGGGAGGATTACGTGGCTCCCAGACTAGCAAGACTCATATGAATTTACAGGTTAGAAGGGATCTTGAAGATAATCTAATCCCAACCTTTCCTACAATGGACAGGGACACCTTCCACTAGACCAGGCTGCTCAAGGCCTTACCCACCCAACCTGACCTTTAACACTGCCAGGGCTGGGGTATCCACAGCCTCCCTGGGCACCGTATTCCAGTATCTCACCACACTCACAGTAAAGAATTTCTTCCTAAAATCTAGCTTAAATTTTCCCTCTTTCAGTTTGTACCCATTACTCACTGTCCTGTCTCTACAGCTCCTGAGAAAGAGTCCCTCTCTGACTTCCCTGTAGAACCCCTTTGGATACTGGAAGGTTGCTATGAGGTCTCCATGCAACCTTCTCTTCTCCAGGCTGAACATTCCCAACTGTTACACTGTCTTCATAAGGAAGGGGCTCCAGTCCTCTTATCAACTTTGTGGCCCTCCTCTGGACTTGCTCCAACAGTTCCATGTCCTCCTTCTGCTGGGAGAACCTGTGACACAGGGTTTCACAAGAGGAGAGAGGTTCAATCAATTCTCTCAACCTGCTGCCCACACTGCTTTTGATGCAGCTCAGGTTATGGCTGGCTTTCTGGACTGCAAGTGCACACTGCTGGCTCATGATGAGTTTTCATCAACCATTACTCCTACGTCTTTCTCTGCAGGGCTGCTCTCAATCACCTGTACACTCAGCCTGTACGTGTGTCTGGGATTGCCCAGGTGTAGGACCTTGCACTTGGCCTCGTTGAACTTCATGAGATTCACATGGGACAATCTCTGAAGCCTATCCAGATCCCTCTGGATGGCATAATTTCAATGGCACCACATAGCTTGGTATCATCAGCAATTTTGATGAGAGTGAACTCAATTCCACTATCCATGTCACCTACAAGGATGAACAGTGTTGGCCCCAGTACCGACCCCTGGAGAGACACCACCAGTCACTGGTCTCCACGTGGACAATGATTCCTTATCTTTGCCAGTGGCCACTGTGAAGAGAATCGCTGCACCAGGCAGCCAGGCGCTGAAGGCGGACCCCGGCTGCAGGGATAAACCTTCCCGTCCACGCCAGCCCAGACCCGCCCCTGCCGCGCCTCCTGCCGTCCCTGTGGCCGGGGCCGTGTGCCTCTGAGGGGCGGGGCCGTGTGCCTCTGAGGGGCGGGGCCGTGTGCCTCTGAGGGGCAGTGCCGTGTGCCTCTGAGGGGGCAGTGCCGTGTGCCTCTGAGGAGCAGTGCCGTGTGCCTCTGAGGGGGCAGTGCCGTGTGCCTCTGACGGGCGGGGCCGTGTGCCTCTGAGGGGGCAGTGCCGTATGCCTCTGAGGGGCGGGGCCGTGTGCCTCTGAGGGGCGGGGCCGTGTGCCTCTGAGGGAGCAGTGCCGTGTGCCTCTGAGGGGGCAGTGCCGTGTGCCTCTGAGGGGCGGGGCCGTGTGCCTCTGAGGAGCAGTGCCGTGTGCCTCTGAGGAGCAGTGCCGTGTGCCTCTGAGGGGCAGTGCCGTGTGCCTCTGAGGAGCAGTGCCGTGTGCCTCTGAGGGGCGGAGCCGTGTGCCTCTGAGGGGCGGGGCCGTGTGCCTCTGAGGGGCGGGGCCGTGTGCCTCTGGGGGAGCAGTGCCGTGTGCCTCTGAGGGGCGGTGCCGTGTGCCTCTGAGGGGCGGGGCCGTGTGCCTCTGAGGGGCGGTGCCATGCGCCGCGGAGGGGCGGGGCCGCAGCCCCCCCACGCGGCTCTGCATCGCTCCTTGGTACAGCCCTTCCGCACCTCCTGGCCGCTTCCTGTCCCCCGCGCATGCGCGCTCGTCGCTCCGCAGGCGGCCCCGGGCTGTGCGCCTGCGCGGCGCCCCGCGGTGAGAGCCGCCGCCATGACGTCCGCGCTGGAGACCTACATCAACCGTATCCTCCTGGCGTCGCCTCACGGCGCGCCGCGCTCCGGCCGCGCTCCGAGCGGGGCCCCGGCGGGGCGCGGCAGCGCGGCTCCGGGGCCTGGGCCCGCGCCTGTCCCTCCTGGCGGTGGGGGTTTCTCCTCCGGAGGCTGGCCGGGCAGGCCGGAGCGTACGCGGCAATAGGGTCCCCTGCAGCTCGCAGTGCTGCCGGGCTGAGCTCTGCCCGTGGTGAGCGGGATTCGCCGTGGGCCTGCGCCCTTAAAGGGCTCTTAGCCTGCGTTTGGATAACAGCTTCGCAGCACTTGCTCAAAACTGAGCTGGGGGATCTTGCAACGCTTTTGGTACTCGGTTTTTGTGCTCCTTGTAACCCACAGACATTGTCAGTTTTATTCACAAACAGTAAACTAGTAACCCGGAATTAGTTAAGACGATGAATATATGGTCATCGAATAGGGATAATCCGATCTTCAGGAACAAGAGATGCAGAATACTAGCCTCGGGATCACTACTACAGAGCTTTTTAAGGACTTTAAGATTGGTTTTCTAAGGTCTTAAAGTGTTCATTAAACTTTCCATTTCGAGGCAGTGCAGTTAGCAATGGGAAGAGAGGTGAGCTCAAATCTTTATTCTGTTTTTAAGGGTTTTCATGTTTGTTTATGGCTGTCCATGGTTGGGTGAAGAGAAACTTCCAAAGAGATGTTAATAAAAAATACTGTATTGTTACATGTTATTGTCAGCCATGCTGCTTTAAAAAAAAGTGCAGATAGGCTTTTTAGGCTCTAAATGGCTCATAAAACCTGTATTACATATGAAAGCTTCAGAAAGTGTTAATGGTTCTATTTCAGATATAACTAAATGTTTCCTTAATTAAATATCAGGTACTGTTGCAGTAATTACTTCTGATGGAAGAATGATTGTGGTAAGACTTTTTTTTTTTAACATTTTATTTTCCCCATAAAGACATCATGGCAATAAAGAAGCTCTGTTAGGATAGTCTCACATACTCACATTACTAAATTATGTATTATAGAATAATTGCTATAAAGCTTAAAGAATAATTTTGTGAACACTTACTGTTTCTTGCATGTCATGTCAGCTTTTTTCCATTGATATATTTGACTGCATAATATTTTTTGTTTTATGCTTCTGTGTTTTGGGTTTTCTTTCCTTGCATTGCATTTCCCCATCTTTTATTCTTTTGTGTTTTGAGTGTAACTTAATAGTATGATTGTTGCAAGAGGATTGTATCTTTCTGTCTACACTTAGCTTTGTGCAGCCTCTGGAAAGAGAAAACAGAAATCTGTTGGCTTCACCAAATCTGCTTGGCTGAAGTCAGTCTGATAAACTTTGTGTGTGTGTGCTACAAGATACCTCTATCAATAAAGATTGGAATGGAGTTAGTATATATGACTCGTTGTTAGATGATATAAATGAATATTATGACTGTTTCAAGGGCTGTTTTATGTAAGTTTGAGTTTCTTAATCAGTTAGTGATGGTAAATTTATGTTAAAAATTATCCAAACACGTACTTAATTGCCACAAAATCTTGTATTTTTTAATGTATTTAAAAAAAAATTAGTAAACACAAAGTAATCTTCAAAGAGATGCCCCTTAAAAATTGTTTGTTAGGAATGGTTTCAGTATTGTTGACCACAAGAATCCAACTTGTCTGTTTTCTGTTTATTTGATATTTTTTTTTAATTTCTGGAAATGTCCATACAAAAAACCATTGTAGAAATAGTAGAATTGGTTATATAGAGGAACATCACTGATAAAATAAAAAAATTACTTTTTTAATGCTTAAGCATATTGTCTTTTAGCATGAACACAAAGTAATACTAGGGTGCTTTTCTTAAATTGGTTATTGCTTTTAAAATTTCATTCTTTAGCTTTTGTGTTTAAACCAAAGAATAAAATCTGAATAGAACATCTGTTCTCTAGTACCTTTATTTTGCCACTCTGTTTAAGAGTGCTGTCCTTGGCAGCAAAGGGGAAGAATTTTAAGGGCAACGGCAGTGTGCTTTTTTGTGTTTTTTTTTTTCAGGGAACACTCAAAGGTTTTGATCAGACCATAAACTTGATTTTGGATGAAAGCCATGAACGAGTGTTCAGTTCTTCACAAGGAGTTGAGCAAGTAGTGCTAGGCTTATACATTGTAAGAGGTGATAATGTGTAAGTATAGCATGTTCTTGTTTAAATCCTTTCATACAGACTTTGTGTGTGGATGCATGTGTTTGTGTGTGTGTATATTTATATATCCATAATCTGTATAAATCTTGATAGCCCCACACACCTTGCATCTTTGTGGGTAGCACTGAAAGTATTGTCAAAGCTGAAGGTATTAAAAAGATGTGTAGAAGTGACACTTAGGGACATGGCTCAGTGGTGGACTTGGCAGGGTTAGGTAATGGTTGGATTTGATCTTTCCAAACAAACAACTGTGATTCTGTATTAAAGACCAAACGTCTACACTTCTCTAAAAGTTGAGACTGAAGTTGAGATTGAAGATGATCTCTGTGCTGGAGCATCTCTCCTACAAGGACAGGCTGGGAGATGATGAAGGAAAAGACAGAATAATCACTAAAAAATGAGATAGAACTTGTGTACCAAAAGTCATCAATTTGGTATCAGTTTGGGTTTTTTTTTTTCTTTAGAGCAGATGTTCGCAGAGAACTTTATAATCTGGAAAATCCTTGAAGGTTCTGACTTGACAGTGTAGCAAGTGTTGAAGCCAATGTAATGACAAGTCAAATGTATGAGTTGGTATTTGATGTAAACTTCCCTTACAAAATGAGGGTGGAAGCTCATTGAGTGCGGAGAAAAGTAGCTGGTGTGCCAAACCCATGCGAGGGTTACCAGAGAAGTGGAAAGAAGGCCTGGTAAGCAGGCCAGCTGGGAAGATTACTTTTGCCATCAGTTTCACAATGCTGCTGCAAAAGTAAGATTATTTTTTTATCACAGCTGAAAAAAGTGTGTTGCAGTGGCTAAGACATAAATCTTGATAGGAATTTTCATCTTCTAATTCTAATGTATGCTTCTGTACAACAAAACACCAAGGCTTAAATTGATATCTAGGTGCAAGTGGATAATTCTGAATACTTTCATCACTTTCAATTTAAACTTTTAAGAAGAAGTAATTTGACACATGTACAAAGGTGGGACTATGCATACCCCTATACCAGTAGCTTTTCATTCAGGTAGTAAAAATGTGTATAAAACAGCAAATAATGGTTTACTACTTCACTGTTTCATCATAGAGTTGAAATGTATGATGAAAGACATCATCATACAGCCACATTACTCAAATATATTCAAAATACGCTTCTGTGAAATACATTTTTTTTGCAATCCTAACAAACTCAAACATATTTATTGCAATTAATAATTAGTATTCATGCAACTCTTCAACATGCTGAAATTCAGTGTCCTTATAGGAAGAAGTAAAAAGAATCAACAGCTAAGTGACAGTAACTTCAAAATAGGGAACTCTCATGAAATAGGGAAGCTGTTGAAAAATGAAAGAAACAGTACATGGTACAAAGTACTTTGAGCATTCCAGTGTGCATCACTAGACGCTTTAATGGAATAAATAGCTTCAGTCAGAAGTTGGTATAGTTCAACAGGAAGTAAGGCTTGTTAGAAGAAAAAATACAGCTTGTTTTAGAACTGTGTGATTTGATTTCAACAAATAATAACCTGATCTCTTTTTTTTATTGCAGTGCTGTGATTGGTGAAATTGATGAAGAGACAGATTCTGCTCTTGACTTGGGGAATATTCGAGCTGAACCTTTAAACTCAGTTGTGCACTGAAAAGATAAAAGACTTTGTAAATCTTTGGTTGTACAGACCTATTTAGCAATGTGCACAGTTTTTACAAATTGTGTTTAATTTGTTTGGTCACCAGTTTTTTATTATGAATATGTTGTAGTTTTGCATGTAAATTAAAGTTTCTACATTTTGCTAAAGATACTTTAATTGAATTTCTTTTGGGATTTCATGCTGCATAATTTCACTGGGAAATGCAATCAGTATGAGTGATGGTCCTGATACTGTGTATATATACAACTTGTTCTTAAAATAAGATCTCATTCCTAAAGGTAAACAAAGGTTTTTCATGTAAACCCAGGATTATTTGAAGGTCAGTGTGTGTGGCTTTAGGTAGACAACTTTTTGTATTTTTTTTGTGTATGTGTGTAGTGTAGAAAGGAAGAATGTTAAAAGCTGTCACAGTCAAATTAATGACTTATGCACATAATACTTTTGTGGTGTCAGACCTCTTTGTTCTCCAAGACTCTACTGGAGGTGCGGGAGTTAGTAGTGCCTTAATCCTTGCAGAAAAATTGGAGAAACAGACTTTTGAGCACAAACAAAAAACCCCTATGTATGCATTTATTTGAAGCCCATTAAATTCCAGACCAACTCATTCTCTATCTTTACCTTTCAGCAGCTGTTGTGTTGCTCAAAATTTGGGTAAGATCTACAGAAAGAGAATTGTGTTTGATAATATGTAACCATTGTCTTAGAATGTAATTTAGAAGACCCAGACTGCCATTAGGTAGGTAAATTATTTATTTTCAAAGAAATTTGCCTTAATATTGAATATAAGGATCACATATAGACCTCTTATACATAGCCACAGCCGAGCTAAGTCGGACAAGGTCTGTGCAGCATAGTGTGTTTGAGGCCATTATCAGCATGAAGTTTGTACTCTTGAACAAAGTTGGTTTTGTTATTCTCCAGTGTCGCACAGGCCCAGTATTTTTCTCCTGTATATAAATGTGTTGTCAAAACAAAGGAATTTTAATGTGCATATTAGGGGGTTTTATACCGATTTTACTATTAAGTGGGATTTGGTACTTTTCATTGCAAGTTCAATGGCAAGATGAAGAAAGATGGGAAAAATCAATGCAATTGAAACCACAAAGTGGACATAGACTGATGGCCTAGTATTAGTGATTCTGAAGAAAGAGAGTGTTAGTCCCCAGTGGAAGAGTGGGGTGGAAACTCAGCACATGTAAAGCCTGTGTATGTGTCTTCACATTTAGGGAACTCTGCAGTCAGTGTTGCAAGCACAGTGAAGGTAGTAAAAAGGTATAACAGAACAAATGAAGAGCTGAATTTTTGAGAGGAAAACTGAACTCCTCAGATGCTGAAGAGATATGAAAGTGGACTGGGTGGAATGAGAAAAGAGCACCACAGATTCTGTGTTGCGAAGGTATGTTGATCACTGTGTGTGCCAGCTGGCTGGTTTGAAGGTTCTCCTGTTTAACACTGCTTGCAGAGATGTAGCAAAGCAAATTTCTCCTGGCAGATAAGTAGTATTGTCTGCAAGAAGCCTTTGCTTTATTCTTCCTGGAGAGAAAAGTACTCTCAACAAAAAAAGAGTAACTCTCTTTCTGGAACTGAAGGTGCTCCCTAAAGAGTTCTGACTGCTGGTGCCTTATGGCTGTCAGCTGGTTCCATGGGGTACATGAAGAGCCCTGCTGAGATCATGAATACTTTTTTTCTTGAAACTGTCTTCCTGCAATGAGCCTAGATTAAAGATTCAGTAAATAACAGGTGAAAATCCAGTGAGTCCTTGCAGGGTAATAAACATACTCTACAAAAATGAGAAGGGCAGAGAAAGGTGATACTAAGGCCAAAAGGAAGTAATGCTGAATTGGAGTTGTCATATGCCATTAAATTTCCTGCATTGTCATAGTTTGGTCACTTCCTCCTTTTGTTTGGTTAATAGAGATCTTGGAGTGAAAAGACAGCTCTTGACTAGTAGTGGAAAAATCCTCCAGTGAAATGAATAAGCTGGTTTATAGAGATTTAAGTAATTTAATTTGGTGTGCATGAAGAAACACAGAAACTACTTTTTGTTGTCCAAAGGCAATTTCTCTAACTGCAATCCACGTTAAATTTACCTCCCTGTCCCTTTCACATATTTGCAATCCAAGTGCTTCAAATATTGCCTGCAAGTGGGTTACTGGCTGTAGTGGATTGCAAGAACATAGATAATGTTATGAGGATGTAATCCAACAGTGGACAATTTCTGTACAACTTGGCCTTTGCTATCAACTACAGCCTGTTGTCCTTAGCTCTGGAGATAGTGTTTATTCTTCAATCCATTTTATAAATAAACAGCTGAAATACACATTGGACAATTAAGAGCTAGATGAAGTGCAGGACTATAGTATTTATCTCCTGGCCATTGCCATACTACTTTCATAGCAGATGTACTAGGTCTGTGTGTCTGAGTAGGTGTTTTGTACCTGTGGCAATATAATTCCACCAATTAGCCTCCACTGCATGCTGCTGCACTCTGCCAGGAATTTCATTCTGCAGATTAATACAGAAATTATCCTTAAATACCAGGGTTGTGTTCTCCATGCATTGGTATGAAAGGATTTAATTTATTCCATTGTTTATTAACATGACAAATACTAGGTCATGTGCTGTTTCTCCTTTAGGAATTAAATTACAATGACCACAAAGACACTTCTCAAGAGGGAGAAGCCTCAGTTGAAGAGACTTGGAAAATGTGAATGTGAGTTATGCCAGTTAGAATAACAAGGTATGTTTGCTAGTTACATTTGGTCTGTGATACATTTGTGGCACCTGTGTATGCTACTCTACTAATTTTTACTAATGGATTCTTACTTTTGCTTTCCAGTTGAGAGAACTGCAGCTTATTGATAAGAATAATGAAAATAATTTGGTGGATTAAGTGGAACTTGCAGTAGCCAGAAAAACTATGTAATACCAATTAGTTTTAGCTTCTCTGTTGCTTAAATAATAAGCATTATAACTTCAAATATCAGGTAGGTATTAATGGAGAAATAACTATGAAACCCAGATGTGCCAGAAGTTCAAGATTCTTGAGGTGAGGGAGGGAAAACTTGTACCAGACCTAGGTTAAAAATACATGACAGAAGATAGTAAAGAGCCAGGTATTTGTTCTGGAAATTCTGTTCCTGATGGCCTCTTTCAGCATACTGTGTTTTGCTTTAGGGTCCTTTTCAGGGGCCTATTTTTCTGTAATTTTACAGTAATGGCAGAAATGATGATATTTCGTGCATCAGTAGCATTTTTCCTGAAGGAAATAAAAGCTCCACTGACGCAGGTGAAAATCAAAGCTGAAAACACAATAGCATTCAAACTTTTGGCAAAACCTGCTTACTAGCCCTAAAAGCAGGACTTATCTACTTGTTATATGTTCCTTCCTGGAGCATTGCAGCACGTTCCAGGAGCTCTGGAACTTGCTTGGAACAATGTGCTGCTGCCATTCAGCCTTACATCAGTAACAGTGCCACTGGATGCCAAAAAAATTTCACTCAGTGCTCAACTTCTTTCCGGCTACTTGCACTTTTAGATGAAAGGCTTTCATTACTTTAGGGAGGACAACCACATGTGCATGTACTGCTTTTGTCTGCTAAAACCTCTTTAATGGCTTTCCTGCCATCTTGTTTTGTACTCTAGGTTTATTTTATCTTTAGTGTTGAATCCAGCAGTGATGATTACAGTGCTCTGTGTAGAAATGGGAGTTGAAATTATTCAGTGGAGACATTGAAGAAGTTGGACCTGAAGTACTCTAATGCATAAAAAATAACTAGGATGGAAACCTGTTGTATGTGAACAAAGTTGGCCTTTATAGTAGTGGTCATTGTAGTGAAATTCTCTTAAACACAGGTACAGTTATTGTATCTGTATAAATCATTGATCTTATAAGAAACACTGAGAAATTGTGAGAAAACGTTTTCTACTTAGAAATATTTTAAGGCACTGGAATTTTATATGGAAGCTTCCTATCCTAAAATGTTACTTTTTAATTATGGTTATTGCTTTGTATTTTTGTGCTTAAATTTTTGGTAATTCTCATTTGTGTAATTTTCAGACTTCAGCTCTGTTTATGATGCAGATGGAAACCTGTATGCACATAAATATTGCCATGTTCCTGCAGACTGGCCAGAGCTGCTGGTGGTGTATGGCTGGGATCTGCAGCATTCACACTGATGAACATGTGTGTGATGTAGAGACCTTGGATACAGGGGACAGGTTGTCAAGCTTGTATTCAAAGCAGTGTGCATGCAAAAGACAAGGAAAAATATGCAGCAATAAACCCCCTACCTATCCATAATAGTTTCAAATTTGTTTTGTAGCATTTCCAATTAATAAAACAATTTCTTGTCAACTGCCATGTAAATACCACCTCATCTGTACCATTTCATGCGTACAGACCAAAGCTACAGTTCTATGTTGCACTGAGTTACAAGACTGAACAGAAGCCAAAGCAGGAAGTGATTATGGCTAAGAAGCTGATGCTGATTGAAAATGTGTGATGCTGTGGAGGAAATATCAGACAATAGAACCTCAGTCAGTTTGGAAACAGATTTCAAAAACAGCACATTAGGATGTAAACAGTCAATAGGACTGGGGCCAGCCTTTCTCCTAACAATCGCATCATTAGCAGTAGGAGCGTGCAGAACGATTTCTATGATTAAAGTGCAAGTGCAAAATCCATGAACATGTGTGCTCATCAATGCTGAACGGAAACAGCCTTCTTGCTTTTTGCTGTGTTTCTTCTACAGGTTGTCCTAACTCATCCTGGATATGAGTCAGGCATAAATGCAGTCTAAATCTAGGAAGTGCAAATGGTCAAGGACTTTGAAAAGAAAGGCTTAACATTATTTTGTGTAACTAATAAGTTAGGATCACTCTGGAATTACGCTGCTGATTTTCAAGACAGCTTCATTAAAAAGTCATCAGCTCACATTCAATTAAAATAGGATCCAAGTGGAAACAGATAAGAAATGGAACAGAGTGATTGTTATAATTTAAGTGATGATCATTATGTGGCTGAAGGGGACAGCTTCCTGATTTGTCTAGAGACTAGTTTAACTTCTTGCATAATTTATAACATCCATGAAGTAATTTTGAGTTTTATGCTGTAACTTGATTTCACCCTTTTACGGAAGTCCAGCCAATGCAGAAAG